TTTTTTTTCATATTTAGAGGTTATTATCATGTCCATTATATCGTCATCATCGTACAGATATTTTGTACATTCTAAATAAGTTTGTGCAATATATATTGCTATAATATCATTCATTTTTATGAACTTTTGTACCCACTTTCGTAAAAATTTATGTAAATTTTTTTTCTAGGTTGCCTCGAAAATAAATACTAATGCTTGGATACACTTCAGAACACGTTAGACCGGTCAACTTAACTAGTGTTAACAACATTTGTAGCGCTACTTGACCGTTCCATAGAAGCATTGAAAATGAAAACGTTTGAAGCATTTGAAAGTGGCAACTCGACCGCACCCCAAGATTCGAGATTGTCTTAAGGTGCAGCCACAATAGAAGGAATTAGGAATAAGGAATAACGATTCCAACCTATCAGAAACCGTGTATGCCGGTGTATCCGATATCTGATAAGTTGAAATCTTTATTCCTTATTCATAATTCCTTATTCCTTCTATTGTGGTTTTACCTTTCAGCTAGTGCTTAAACCAATCAGAGAGCCGTATTAGCATCTTAAGACAATGGCTGCGTTCAGCAGACTCAACAGTTTTGCAACCGTTTTATGATTGGCTGCGTTCAGCAGACTCAACAGTTTTGCAACCGTTTTATGATTGTCTGCTGAGATAGGACCATTCTTCTAGATCTAAAAGTATGATCCAATTAGCGCAAAGGAAACTTCCAACAGTTGCAAAACAACCGTTCTGCTGAATGCAGCCAATCTTGAAATAAGAACGGACTATGAATACCGGCCATAGTAAGATGACGAAAAGATGTCTTTTTTTAAGTTATCTTTTCGACAAAACTAAAAGATCTTATAGACATCTTTTCGCTTTGTCGAAAAGACAACTTAAGAAAGATATCTTTTCGTTATCTTTTAATATTTCGTGCTGTCTGGGTATATAGTTAATAAACTATTAAACGATAATGTAGTTTAAACCGGTCGATTTTATGAAAAAAGTTAGAAAATTACGATTTTGTTATCAATTTCTGGCGTTTTTGGAATATTCCCGTGTAATTTCGAGGCCGCGTTTTCCTCGATTATAAATTATTATCGATACAGAAATTTGTTTTACCGGCAGAGATAGAGTTTTTTTAGCGAGCGAGCGAGGAACGAGTACAAACTGCAGACTGCAGAGGTGATACTTCGCGCAGGCGAGTCGTCGAAGATTGGTCGAAGACGTCGCTGTGATGTGACGTTTCGGCCGTTTCTTCGGTTTCCTCCTTCGTTCCGAGCTCCAGAGCAGGTGTGTCTGTGGTGGTGCGGTGGCTGAACCGTCGTGTGTGCGCCAGATCCATCGATTTAACGGGAACACAAAATAAGATGCTACGTCGTCTCTCCGTACGTCACGCGTCCGGCCGTGTCGACAAACCGATGACACTGAGCGCGATCGCGAGTAAGATCGTCGGACGTTAAGACGTTATGGGAAGATGTTGAAGCAGCTCGATTACCTCGACCACTGGGAGCATGGGTTCGCAAACGTTGGAGATCCTGAGGCAGGGCGTCTGGGCGAGCCTAACAGGCGGCTGGTTTTACGATCCACATCTCGACATTTTCTCCAACACGTTCCATCTCTACATCTGGCTGTTCCTGCTTTGCCTGCCATTCACGATCTATCTGGTAAAAAGGAGGAAAAAAAAGCGCAATTACGACATTCCTTTTCTCTCCTCTCTACATTTGCGCAGCCGTTTATTTTGAAAGTTGCGTAAAGTCAGCCTGTTTTCGCAAAACTATCAAAATAGACATCCAAAGTTGACTTTTCAACGAGAATTTTTCCACATTTCACACATTTGGATTCGTGACACTTTCAAAAGAAACGGCTGATTACATAAATTTTTTGTCGTCTTTATTTATCAAGAAACTTTGCATTTATCAAGAAGCTTTTCTTTTTATGGCAATTGCAAAAGAGCAAGCCTGTTAAGGAGAGTTTCATGTTTCAGTATTTCCCTCCTACGTTATACGTTTGGCTGGCATACTGTTCATCATTCGTCGCTGTTTTTGGAACGATAAAGTGTGTGAATCATGCTCTGCACTGTGTATATGATACCACGGAATGTCTAGAAGAACCCAATCAAACTATCAGTCAGCAGAAGTCAGAGGGCGAGAAGAAATGGGGGAGCCATAACAAATCTAGGGAACAGTCACAAGATCAAACCAGCCATGGCATAGAGCTACAAGTTTTAAATGGTACCTATGCTGCATGATTTATAATACTAATCAACTCAATGATGTCATAATTGAGTTTGTAGCATAATTGAATAAGTAGCATATACTTTTATAAAAATAATATTACTATGGTAAGTATATAATTTAAAAAAAAATAATGAGACTTTTTTATCTTAAAATAATTAAATTTTTTTGAAAATTTGTTTTATTCTTGAAATTTTTACATTCCTAAAAAATTTCTTGAAATATGGATTCCTGAAACAGGTTACCATTCACTTCATAACTTTCTTCACTCACAACCTTCAAACTCTCCAATCTCTTACCAAATTTAGGTATATACATAAAATGAAATTAGAACAGTCCGTTCTTATCTTAATAGCCATTCTACAATGTGTTCTTTGTTTGAGCACATTGTAAAATGGCTATAAGACTTTAGATGCTAATATGGCTCTATATATTGTAATCTTATAAGATGTCATAAACTAATTATAGAATTGTACTAGCATCTTAAGGTATTACTTAAGATGGTCTTAAAATAAGAACCAATTATGGCCGATATTCATAGTCAGTTCTTATATTCAAGATCGTCTTAAGTTCAGTCTTGAGATGTTGCGAATCAATCAGAGGACCGCATTTGCGTCTTAAGACATTACTTAAGATGGTCTTGAAATAAGATCTGACTATGAATACCGGGTTATGAATACCTGCCTATAATTGGTTTATGACATAAGGCTGTACTTAAGACAATCTTAAATGCAATCAATTATGAATATCTTACTGATGATCTGTTATGAATCGATTTCTTTTACATCAAATTTACAAAGCCCCATGCATCATGCTATGAAATAATTAAATATGTTAAATAATTTATAAAATTGTGTAAAATATAACTGAAAGGGCCTACTTAGGAAGATTTACAAAGAACTTTTTCATTTGTACATTAGAACTCCCATTTATTTGAATATGTCGAGAAACAAGATAGTTTGATAATTAAATGGTTCGGAATGTTCAAATAATAGAGTAACTGAAGTCACTCCTGTTATGGTTCTTATTACTTTGGATAATAAGAACTCAGCTATAAGTTCGTATATTTGGAACTGAGCATGAACTTGTTTGTATAAACGGAGAGTTCTACTATGTTTTCTACCTCTAATGACGAGTTTAATATATTTCATAAATAAAATCATTTTACAAGAAGACAATATTTTATTCTGCTTAACATAAAATTTCTCATTTGTAATATATAATTTCCAAATATATAATGTATAATTTCCATTAATATTTTTTGTGTAAATTTCTATTTTTCATCATTAACTTACAATCTTCATATATCACTTTGCTTGAAAGCAACTTTTCTCACTGTATATTTTTCATAATCTGCTTCTAGGTAAAACGGACACACCACCTGTAGAATGTTCATCACGCAACTCATTTATTGAACCAAATATACAGAATTCCGATGCAGATAGTATAACGTCTGAATATACTCGGGATAAAGCTAGTTCGACCATAGATTTAAAGGTAGAAATACATAGGAAAAACAGTTCGGAAAGCTCGGAAGAAGCCCAGCAGCTCAGTAAACCAATGATAACCAGCATCAACGTGCACGAAGCTGAATTAGTTTCTGCACAATATCACGAACCACGTTCTAAGAATATCATAAATGGTAATTCTCAACTGTATCTAATAATACATGGAATGATTAATATAGAGAAATAATTAGGATTAATATTTATATGTAGAATGGAAACTGAAGAGGCAAAAGTGTGTGGTAATAGCGGAGGAAGATCGACCGCGTAAATTATGCCGGCATTCGTCTGAGGAGTCCAGAAATCGACATTCGAAGCAAAGCAACCTCGGTAAAACGGGATCCGAAAGCCAGATAAAGCAAACCAGTTCGTTGGAATTGACAAATCATCGTCATATTGGCGACGATTATCCATACTGGATGTTAAATCGGAGCGTTCGCAGACTTAACTCCAATTCCATACCGAAAGCACGTTTGACAAATGATCATCCACAGAGTTTAGAAATCATATCAAAAAAGGGAGATGCAGACAACAATAAGATCTCGTCTCATCCACAATCGTTAGAGGTAAATCTCCCTTGCAAATCTTAATTGAAGTATATTAAGTGAAAAAATTAAAATAATGTTAAGTAAAAATCTCATAGTTGAATAACATAGTTGATAGTAATTTTGCAATCTTAAACGACTTATTCCTAGCAAGCATTAATAACGAGCATTAAAAGGTGTTGTATTAATATTTTGTAATGTAAAAGGATCATTTTAATTCTAAGGTTATTCCCAAGAAACCGCACCAGCAATTAGTACATCCGCAAAGTCTTGAAACAATTGGCGCTACCAGTAAAAATATAAGTAACACCGACGACAATAACCTGCCACTTCATCCCCAGAGTCTTGAAACAATTAATACCAAAAAGGTACGAGCAATTTATTTCATGAAATATTTTGTTGCGACTGTTTTTTTTTTTTCCACAAAAGGTGCATATTTTCTGAAATGAAATGTTAAAGGTCTTACCACAAAACACACTGAAGAGAAACCAGCTACAGCTACAGCTCTTACCGTATCTTAGTTTCGGATCCGAGATAGTTTATCCGATAGCGGAACAGAGTGACGAACAATTTGCTAATGAAAGTTCAGAAGAATTCAGCCTTTGCGATTCCTACAGTCCATTACTAACGCGAAAAAACATAAATGATGCAAGCGCTACGTCTACTCGAGACAGAAGTCTTAGCACTGGCAGGTTTGAAGATAGATTCTCAAGGTACTAATGTGTATCATTAAATATAATTGTAATGCTCTTTCTAATTAAATACATCAAATCTTATTCACGTTAGCATTATCTTTTAGGTTTAACGACGACAACGGAATAGATAATAACTCTGCAAATTCTCGAGATGCTTTATTAGAAGAGTCTAAATCTAGAGGAGTGAAAAGGAAATACAGCAACGCCAATCAGAGCAATCATGAGTTTTCGGACGGTGAAAAAAGTAAAGAAAAACAGCGAGATAAATCGAAAAACACGGAAGATCCGCTCAACTCAGGGAGCATAATCGGAATAGATTGGTTATTCGAGAGCGGAGATTGTTCGGGGGAGCCGTGGACAAGTAAGAGTAAGTTCAGCGTATGGAAATGTATTGATTTTTTTTTGTAGGTAAAAAGTGATCTGGTCAAATTATTTTTTGCTATTTGCAAGCTTATATTGTTACGTTTTTCTAATTCGTGCTGCCAGTATTTTGGACTTTCACTCGCTCTGATGATACGGATACGTCAGAAAGCCTACAGACGGCTAGTACAGATTGTAAGTTGGACGCACTATAAAGTTAGGTTTTTCAATCGCGTTGGGGAAATCACTGTTGAGTCAAAGAATATTTTAATACAATACTCAATTGGCAGATGAGCGTATCGCACATTTAGCGCTTCCACCCAGCTTCGCGCATGATTCTTAATTCACAATGCAATCTTCACAAATAACAGTTCAGGCGATCGATCTTCTAACGTTGATCTAAATTGTAAAATGGATGAGAGTAATAAATACGGTATACTGATTTGCGTAGATCTTCATTCTAAAGAGCCCGATTCGGGATCGTCCAGTACAACGACCCTCAGCATCGAGAACGAGGTAAAGCGGAATTTGCTGCCGCAACTGGAGGTGGACAACACTACTAAGCGTCACCAGGGAGCGATTCCCAAACAGAGCCGTCCAAAACCCACCGCGTCGGACGCCGCGGACGACAGTATCGTGCCAAGCGAAGAGCAGCCACGGGGGAATCTTAAACGTTACATCCAAGTGCGACGACAAAGAACCAGAAGGCGAGATACCAAACTGGAACAAACAAGCGGTTCGAACAATGAATTGAGCACGTTGCTGCCGAGCCCGGCGTCTCCATTACTGGCCGCATTACTGAACAATTCCGGTCGGGATCTGCCTGGTCAGTCAAACACCACGTCGTCCGATTTACGGCTTAGTCGCAATTCCGAGAAGCGAACGGCTTTTCGGGCCAGGTATGGACGACTAAAACGGCAACCCAATATAGTTCACCGTGCTAGGTCGCGCAACATTACCAGTCGCGATGATAACGTTGTGCCGTTAACCGCACTGTTCGGTCTGATCTCGAGTGGTGAATGTCATCTAGCCACTAATCAAAACGATACTTCGGAAGGAGCGGTGCACTACTTTCGCGACGACAACGGTCATTGGTTGGCTTACACTTTCGACGAGAAAGGTATAGACGTGACCGCCGCTGCGGCGGCGGCGACAGCGACGCAAATACCAACCAATCCACACAACGAAAAACTGTTAAATACCTTACTACGTCAACAACTCAACCAGAATATACATTACGATGCGACTTGGGAACTCGCAGAGTCCCTAAGTAACAGTTATAGCAGTCTGTCACTCAATTCTGCAGGTCTGACGGTGATAATCGACACGCCACCGGTGCTGTCGAGTCCAGCGAGCAACCAGACCAAGACACAGAGTTCACCACCGTCGAATTTGATCTCCTCGAATACGGGCAGCTCGAATCAGTGCACACTCGGCGAGAATTCGGAGCGCGAACAGTTCCATCACACCCTAATCACGCATTCGGATTCGATGGCCGACAGGAATCGTAGACTGCAAAATCTACTGGGTAATCTGAATCTAAATCAATATCATTCAGATTTCGGCCGCATGCCAGTACTGACATTACCCACGCAGGAACCCGACATAAACACCAGTCTGTCGTGGAATCGTTTTGTCGATGGTTTGGATGGCTCCGATTCCAAGCCCACACGAACCACCTTGCTGGCTTTGCTCGATCGTAATTTGATTGTGTTTGAGACCATCGTTTCCACGTTTCTGGCAGGTGCGGTCGCGGGACTGGGTCTTCTGCTGCTGCAACAGGGCTTCTATCGGGACATCTTCGCGTTCATATTCTGCTTCGTGACAGCCGGCTGCCAGTATTCACTGCTCAAGTCAGTTCAACCCGACGCCGCATCGCCCACACACGGCTTCAATCGCATCATAGTATTCTCCAGGCCCGCGTACTATATTCTATGCTCGAGTCTCATTCTGATTTTCAACGAGGTGCTTAGGAACTTTAAATCGTCCGATTTTCGGGTATATGGATTGTGCGTCGCCGATTACGATCTCATACTGCAAATGCGAAACATTCTTCTAATATTTCTGCTCTGCTTTCCAATCATATTTTCGTTAGGACTCTTCCCGCAGATCAATACGTTCCTTATGTACGTTTGTGAACACCTGGACATTCATCTGTTTGGCGGCAACGCGACCACTAGTCTGGTGTCATCGGTGTACTGTCTGTGTCGCAGCGTCATCGCAATTCTTATTCTCTACGGATTTGCCTACGGCGCCCTTCTCGAACCCAAATCCTCGCAGCACATCCTATTTTCTATATTCATCGGTCTACTCGTCGCGATATCCTATCATCTAAGTCGATCGTCTTCGGATCCCACTGTGATTTGGGACATCCTCAAGACGAATCTGTGGCCCTTAGAGATAGGAGATAGATACACGGAGGAGAAGGAGGCCAAAATCATCGAAAACACGTCGTCGTCACAGACACCTGCAGGTGTGAGTTTCAAAGTGGCTAAGAGCAAATCGACTGGCAAGAAGAAAGCCGTGAAGATCAAGGTGAGCGAGCAAATGTCAGACACTGAGCTGGTGGACCCTTTGCCGGAGAAGTTACGCTCGACTGTGAATTCTAGATTGAAGAACGACCTGATTGTGTGCACGGTGATCGGCACTCTATCTTTCGGAATTCATCGTACGACGGTGTTCACCGCTCTGCAACCGGAACTCAACCCGGTGTTGTGGAGTATCGTGAGCTGCCTTGGCTTTCTTCTGCATTACATCGTGCCGCAACTACGTAAGCAGCTACCGTGGCTGTGCCTTTCAAGACCAGTGTTACGTAGCCATGAGCACGCACAATTCGAAGTACGCGAACCGGTGAGGATCATGTGGTTCGAGAAGGCTTATGTATGCCTGTGCTTTCTCGAGCGGAACGTGCTCTATCCAGTCGTCTTTCTAGGCGCACTCACGGAATGTTCGTCGAAGATTGCCGACAAGTTTGGCGAGAGTGTAGGTGCGCTCATCATTGTTGTATGCGGCCTCAAGTCTCTCAGGTCGGCGTACTCTGACCCATCCACCCGTTACCTCGTCCTCATCTTCGCCGTGCTCTTCTTCCAACTCGACTTCAGAAACTTAAGCGAAACCTTCCTGATGGATTACTTCGTCACGGGGATCGCGTTCGCTAAGATCTACGAGCTGCTACTCAAGATCCGCTTTGTCGTTACGTACATCGCGCCCTGGCAGATCACCTGGGGCAGCGCGTTCCATGCGTTCGCCCAGCCCTTCTCCGTGCCGCATTCGGCGATGCTCTTCCTCCAGGCCGGGATCTCGGCTATGCTCAGCACGCCCCTGAATCCCTTACTCGGCAGCGCGATCTTCATCTCATCCTACGTGCGACCCGTCAAGTTTTGGGAAAGAGACTACAAGACTAGAAGAGTGGACCATTCAAACACGCGTATGTCCTCGCATCTGGAACGCAATCTGGGTGCCGACGACAACAATCTGAATTCAATATTTTATGAGCAACTCACGCGCTCTCTTCAACACAGCCTGTGCGGCGATCTCGCTCTCGGCCGATGGGGAAACGTGGAGCAAGGCGATTGTTTCCTGCTCGCGTCGGATTACTTGAACTGCTTGGTACACATAGTCCAATTAGGTAACGGACTGGTGACGTTTCAATTGAGAGGTCTTGAATTCCGAGGAACATATTGCCAGCAAAGAGAGGTGGAAGCAATCTCAGAAGGTATCGAGAATAATGACAATTGCTGCTGCTGCGAAATGGGCCATATATCGAATGTACTTAGCGTGAACGCAGCCTTTAGCCAACGTTGGCTCGCTTGGGAAGTTGCCAGCGCCAAATATGTTCTAGAAGGTTACTCGATCTCCGATAACTCGGCAGGTTCTATGCTACAGGTGTTCGAGTTTCGCAAAGTACTGGTTACTTACTATGTCAAAAGTATCATCTTTTACGCCGTGAAATCGCCCAAATTGAAGCAGTGGTTAGAAAATCCGGACATCATTCACGCGCTGAAACCTACGCTCGACAAGAACTTCGTCGACCTCGATCCCGTCTTCAATGTAAAAATCGACGAGGATTTTGATTTCCGAGCGAGCGGCATCACGCGGAGCAACTTCTGCAATGTTTACCTCGACTGGATACAATATTGCGCTGGTAAACAAGATAAGGTGATACATTGGTGACATTTGCATTATTTCGTTACCTTAATATTATAATGCAACTCGTTACTTTAATAATTTTGCATTGTCTTTGTATATCGGCACTTTAAAATAAATCAAAAAATATTTATTAAATCTCATCAAATACAATTACTTTTTAAGTGTTATAAGTAGCCAAATGAAGAATTTAAATCACGTTAGTCTAAATTGCAAGATGTAGCTACCTTATTTATTATAAGAAAGAAAACATTAAATTGTTTAAAATTAAAGTATTATAATTGGAACATTAAAGTGACGATCTACTCGTATAATTCACAATTCCTCCGAAAATTATTTCACAAACTATTATGTGTTTTCCAGTCGTTGGATAGAACACGCGATTCGTATCTCGTGTCTCTGTGCCTCTCATTAAGTCTATTGGGAAGACGCGTGTTAGGTGCTGCGTCTCATAACACATTATCAAACGTTGAATTTTTTCTCTATGGATTGCACGCGTTATTTAAAGGTATAATATGGTTTTACAACAATTATCCATGAATTATTGAATGTATTTTTTTTTAAACTTCTAATGTACATATATATTCGTTAACAGGAGATTTCCGGATAACATCATTTCGCGATGAATGGGTGCTGCTTGATGTCGATCTCCTGCGCAGTGTAGTCGCGAAGGGAATAAGAATGGCCTTAAAACTACACCAGGACCACTTTATGAGTCCAGAACAGTACGTCGAATCAGTGGCGCTCTACGAAGCCATCGACAATCATGATCAGAATCTCGTTATCAGTCACGAGGCGGATCCACTTTGGAGAAATGCTGTATTAAGTGGAGCACCCAGTCTGCTAGCACTCAGGTTTGTATCTCGCAAAATGATAATTGCGGAAATGCTGTGTAGCAATTAAAACTTTCGACATTTTCAGACATGTGCTTGATGACGGCATAGACGAGTACAAAGTGATAATGCTCAACAAGCGTTATTTGAGCTTCCGAGTGATCAAAATGAACCGCGAATGCGTCCGTGGACTTTGGGCCGGCCAGCAACAGGAGCTGGTGTATCTGAGGAACAGAAATCCGGAGCGCGGCTCGATACAGAACGCTAAACAAGCTCTGAGAAATATAATCAACAGTTCTTGTGACCAACCGATCGGGTATCCGATTTACGTTTCTCCTTTGACGACCAGCTATGCTGAGACTAACGAACATTTATGCTCGATAATCGGAGGACCATTGACTTTCGGTACTATAAAAAGTACTGTGTTGAAACTATGGAGAAGGTACGTATTTAGAATGAAGATGATCTCCTTACCTTCAAACCATATGATTCGATCTAATTTTAAATAGACAACGCAATAAATTTATCTCTGAATCTGACAATTGAACTTTGTTCATTTTTAGAATAAGAAGAAGATGTGGTCAAGGTTGTTCCTCGGGCGGTACTGGTTCCCAAGATGATGGAGGCTTCGGAAATGATGGAGTGTACGCGATGACTACATACAACATACATTCTGGTATGTTGCATATATCTATTTGATAATCATCAATAGTATTGCAATAGACCATCAATCCCAACGACAATCTTATATTTATGTTATATTATTCTTACATACATAATTTATGAATGATAGGCTATGCTCAATCGGGTCACAACACTTCTGGTTCTCAATCAATGGAGTCTGGCTGTCAAATCGGCGGTTCGACTGGTCGGGGTTCCCTCGGTCGTGCAAATACGGGTTCTCTCGGTGGTAACAGAGGCTCGCTAGCTTCCGTCGGGAAGCCAACCAGCTCGACACTCGCCAGTTTGGCCGGACTTCTCAGTAATAATGATATTAAAATGGAGACGAAGAGCGAGACGAGTTTCTCCAGCAAGCTAGAAAAAGAAGAAGTTTTTCAAAGAGTTCGTGTAAGTATCATGGCGTCATATGCATCGAGTTTACATCAACTTATTGTAAATTACATGTAAAAATATCGTAGAATCATTCTCAATCAAATCAATTCCAGTAGTTATTGAATTAATAAAAAATGAATTATTTAAAATTATATTTGACGCCAAACTTTATTCAAAATTCAAGCGTTGTAGCTTTATTATTTGAAACTTTTAATCGCTATTTGATGCCATAGTATTATTGGTGGATAATATGAATTAAAGGCCTAATGCCGATCGAAGTTAGATCTTAATTGCTTTTTAAATAATTCAAATGTAAATTATATATATACTATACATGTACTTGCATATATACTATATTTGTAGTCATATTCATTACGCGCCGAAATTTTTCCGGACTTTACAAACGCAGCTAAACTACTGAAATAATATCACAAATTAAATTTTTATGCTCAATAGACATCTATTGGAGAGATCTTAACCTAATGGAATCTGTAAATAAATTTTAATTATTGCGAAAAATATTACCTCGGCCGGGAGTCGGCCCGGATCTCTTACATTCCGTGTGAGCATCCTTACTTGTTAAAATTATATCTTGAATAAAGATCTGAACAATAACAATTCAATATATTGTTACCAAATATTTTTCTTTTCCAAACCGTTATATAATTTATTATAGTGTTCTTTTTTTTACATGTGTAAAACATAATATAGATTTTTGGTATTCCATAGAATTACGCTGTTTGATACGGATCAAGAAATTCATGGAGTTTCAATATATCCAGAAATATTACAGAATTTCAGAACATGTGTGTATAAACTGCTATCATATTATTAGTGAGTTTACGCGTCGGTCCTATGAGATTTAAATTTGATTATTGGTAGATTTATAAAGAGATAGAAATATTTTATAAAAATATACGTGAAATTAATGAGACGGTTTTTCTTGAACAGATTATGGACCCTAATCAAGTATACGATGCCATCAATTTGGGTCGACGTATAGATGTGATTTGGCCGGACGAAAGGATGCGACAGCAAGGTGGTCGTTCTGGCTGGCAACATTGGGTACCAGAGAGAGGCATGGAGGGTTGCGTAGTTCATCGTTGGTCGCCGAATCATCGCGACCCCAATCGGCGATCGCACGTCGACAAAGTCATCCTACTCGTGAAGATCGAGGACAAGTATGTGCCGATAGCCGAGCAAGGCGTACGCGATCTAGGAGCGGAGGTTTAGCATAACATCTCCGGAACGCGTCAACGTACAGTCATCGTTTTTGTACACTTGTTCTATCGACCTGCAGACTTGCGGACGTATCCCATAAGTATCAACTGCTGGCCACCAACGGTCCGACTCGAAGGTCTCGCCTGGTATCAACAAGACGCGAAAGCGTGGAAATTAATTTCTAACGCGAACAAATGTATCATACTGACAATGTCGAACGCTAGTTACCTACTTCCACGAAGTCAATACTCGCCATTAGATCGTAAATTGAAGGACTCGGATCAACGACATGCTCAATCACATGAGATCCTTAACTTATTTCGATTGACAAGTTTCACTGTGGTTACATTCGCAACGTTCAGCATCTCGTTTCTCTTTTTTTCTTTTCAGGGTATCGAAGAATTTGCGATAATTTTCACTTGTTTCACTATAGGATCCGTGAAACTTCCTCCGTGTCTTTCTTCTAGCATGTCGCCACAAACCCCTTCAATTTGGTCTCATTTTTATTGATATTGTACTTAGAAGTTTTGCAGATACGATTCGATAATATTCCTCGTCAGATTCAATGTCCTGTTCTTTTCATCTTGATCGTCATTGAATCGCTAAAGTTTCAGACATTTCGATGCAAAACTCAAATACTATGTTGCAAGAATTGTAGAGACTGTACAGAGAGAGGAGACAGAGAGATATATAAAAATATTTTGTCACCTTGTAAGTACCATGGATACATATATTGTTATTTCTCACGAATTGCATGAGAAGATAAAATGCCAATCGCCAAGTTATTCAATGCAATCCGAATTGTATCATGTTGTACCATATATACTGTATATTAAAATATGATATATTAGTTCATTTATGGGACAGAGCAGATGTTACTTGTTGCCCAATATATCTAGATTATTTACTATCGGTTAATAGAGAAAAGGTAGCGTCCGGGCGCATTTCTCTTCCACTAATCTGATGTAAATGCGATATATATTTTTTGGTGGTGAAAGAAAGGATAAAAGAAAAGACGAATTACAAAATAGAAGTATATTATTTATGGATATGTAATAATGTATCATATAGACGAAAGGGAACCTCTTTAAATGTATTATTGTTGCATAGCAGATACAACAAGTGGCATCAATAGGATTAATTGTATATAAAAGTGTCATTCGTGTTTTTCTACATTTTGTTACGATTCTCTTTTTTAACAAGTAAGAGCATTGTAGATATATAAATTGTATATACGTCGTTATACGTCGTTCAACGCCGCATTGTCGCAGACTTCAAAGCGTCCAGGATCTATTCTACTTGAGTATATAATTTTGTGGGGTCACGAAGTCACTCTAGTAGGACTTATCGGCCTGAACTGAAATAGCAGTGTCATCTCGTTCATTTCCACGCCCGTGCCCATGTACAAAAACTCTCGAACTTGTGCTTGGCATTACTTAAGTACTCGCAGGATTGTTAGTCGACGGTGCATTTACGTCCGATATCTTATGGATATCTTCTTAGATATTATATATTGAGGATATCGTATATTGAGTGCACTGATGTAATGCCCTATCGGGCAACAAAGTGTATGTAACGTTATCCTTAAGAGAAAGTTACGAATCGTTTCCTTTTTTTTTCTTTTAATTTTGTATATAATCTCTGTAAATCAATTTCTGCTTCAATTGTTTCCTTACAAATGTTATATACGAGTTAGAGACGTAGATACTGGTTATTTAAATGATAAACGCAGGGTTGCTTGCAAAAAATATGCGTAAATCTGAAACACTTAACTCGTTCGTTCGTTACCGTGTAGAAAAAAAATATATATGTATATGTATATGCGTAAGATATATAAATATCCATATATATTTAGTAAATAGAAAAGAGTAATAGTTTTTTGCAAGTGACCACAGAATCACAGCATTGCCTTATCATGGTGTCTTAAAAAGCACCTGACTGATAATGAAAAAGATTATAGCTAGTCTTTTAATTGTTGGTAACACATTTATGTATCGCTTGCTGCCGAAAGACGCAAGGGAGTGGGAAGGGAGGAAAGGGTGCTCTTTCACCAGAGAGTTATGTGAAGTAATCTATTATAATCTCTGGCCTACTATATCTTTAATGGACAGTACTTTCGTACAATGATTGTACACAATGATCAATAATAAACGAGAAATTGAAATCTGATTAGATAATGATTTATCTCGGCTGCACTGCCACGAAGATACACACGTGATTTACGTAGCTGTTAAAGTAACTGTCCTCTAGCCTCGAATAACTTACCGAAATTAATATATACATTTTGTACAATTTAAGATATTAGCGTACAAATTATCTATTGAATATTATTATTATTATTAATTATATTATTAAACGAAATTAAGTTATATCAAAAAAATATATATGTATATGTGTATAAAGCGTATTTTAAAAATATGTATCATCATACTTAAAAAAAATAACGCAATTCATATCACTTCAGAAATTTATCATTAACGCACATAATTCGTTATCAAGCTGATTCGTCAAGTGATTTTTTTTTACCAGATTTATACACTACTTACGTAAATGTTAAGTGAAGATACGAATAGCTATATCGAGTGAAAAGTCGTGTCTATAAAGACATATATATATATGTATGTGTATATATATATATATATATATCACAAGTGTTTCATACAAGTGTTTACAGGTTTTGCAATAGATTCTATAATTTTTTCTATGATATAGGAATCTTTCTTTTGCTTCTTTTGAACATCTTAAAGAAAATTTCTAACATCTTTTTGGTCGATTCAAGAATATATAGGCTGTTGATAAGCTCTATATTATAGAATATCTAAATAGAAGTATAAATATTTCAATATAATATATATATGTATAATCTGCCATCAACAAATTTATGAATATTAATACACGTATATATTAGTTAAGTGATCATTATATTGCCATTTCACACGACAAATATATATATATATATATAATCTAAAATTTTTAACCACACATAGTGCTTATCTGAATATGATAAGATAAAAAAGGCCATAATTTTTGGACGAAATAGCTTGAAATGTTATATTCTCTCTACAAGTATGAAAATATATTTAGTTGATAGAGAGAAATGGAAGCATAAAGTGTGTATTATATATAATTTACTATATTGCCATGACTAGGACTTGGTATCGTTACTTTCCGTAGTTATTGGTCCTTCGTGCGTTAGTTTTTGTATTAAATTCTCTATCATCTCGTTGTTGACTAAACCGATGAATTTGTCTACGACTAAGCCATTGGAAATCGCTATCACTGCAGGTACAGCTTTCACCTCGAAGACGTGTACCAATTCAGGATTCTCTTCTACATCAACTATAGCTAGATCTAACTTATCCATAGGCTCTATAAGTTCTATTAATTTAGGTGTCAATATCTTACAAGGATCGCACCAATCCGCATGAAAATTTACTATAACTGGCACAGTGCCGTTCATTACCTTATTCACAAATTCGCTGTTATTATTTATCTCGTATCGCTTATTATTCTGGCGAAATAATGAAATACGTCTCACCATAGACGGTATGCAATTTCTTATACTGCACAACATTGTTCCTCTTCTTTTTAATGTGATGTATAGTACAGATGAATGGTCGATGACTACTACGTTTATGCGAGAAGATAAACTTTACATTTATAAATTAAGTCTTGCACATATTGAACGTCTTCATGCTTTCGGCGAGTAAGAGTACCTAAAAAGGAAATTATTACAATAATCAACCATATATAACAATGCAACATTTAACTTCTAGAAACACTCTCTATTTAGTAATATTACATATAAGTTTCAATTTTACCATGGTGACAACATCATCCTTACATTATTGATTTAAAGTACACTGAAGATATTCCCAAAAGAGAGAACCCAGGTGGTTATTCTAACTGGTCTAACGCCTCCCACCAATCCGAATTTGATATATCCCACAATGGAAATTATGGATGAGATAAAACACACAATCAAAATTATTATACGCCAGACGAAAAGTCGGTCGTACACCTAAAAAACAAGGATCTACTTAGATATTATGTGAATACTCACAATCAGTTACATAATTTCTTTAAGATATAAATAATCTTATTCAATGTTACGCTATTTTTATCCTAATAATTATTTTATTTACATCTGATAATAAGAGATAAATTATAAGTTGCAATAATTAATCTCCAAAATAAAGTCTATAGAAATAATTTTAAAAATTCCAGATTCCGAAACGACTTTTGCAAAGTATGTTAATTAATGAAAGCAATTTGTGTTCATAATTCATGAAATAATTTAAACAGATACTCCAAACTCCGATTAACTTAAACGATGACTAATTCGACAGTTGCTCCCAGCAAAGTTTCTGATTATACTTTATTCAACCTTTCTGATCAATTTTTTAAACAAAAAACTGATAATTTCATTCAGGCTAAGAGGACACTTACAGAAAATAGATATATTATTCGAACGAGTTAATCGGGGTTTAATTGAGTGCGTCCATCTGATTAAATGAATAAGTCGGTCGGAATGTCTAGACAGAGTACGGTGAATATTCAACTGTAATTCCTCTCACAATCCTTCCCAATAAAATTTCTACAATCGTACCTTGTTATCCGTGGGAGCGGGCCTCTCTGACGCGCGCGGCACCTTGAGCAAGATATACGTAAATGCGCTCACGAGCAGTATCGCGATTACGCAGACCCAGCCGATCTTCTTCTCGATGCGCAACGATATCAGGAATATCAGCGCAACCAGCACCCACAGAGTAAGAATGGAAAATAATCCCACGCCGACGCCAAATATCAAGGTTGTCATACCTCCGGGAAAAAGAACGGGAGGACGGCGCGAGAATTGTCATCAGGACGGGAACGTATGTTTTTAGCTATAGTGTATGTTTAGGCACAGGATGGTAGATGACGTTTGCAGCTGACGCATCTCGCGACCTGTGCATTTACAGGAATCTGTAAAGAAATAATCGCAAGGCTGGTATATGTATTTGAAATACTTTTATTTGAAACAGTATAATATTTGCAATACAAGTGTATTCTGTATTTCAGTGGAGTACATCCCTTAGAAATTGAATACTAATATTGGCCAATTAATTCATTTATTTTCACACACAATATTAAGAATACCGTTAATAATACATACTTTTAATATTCAAAGCATGATGTAAGCTGCGGTCCACTTGACGCCGTTTGAGCGACCAATCAGAACAAAAAATTTTACGAATTGATTAATCAAAGAATGCTTCGAAGCGTTTGTAGCGTCGAGTGAATCGCAGCCTTAGGCCCTGCGCACAATGGAAGAAATATTAGGAACAGGAATAGATATTAAGATTTCAACCTATCAGAAACCGTGTATTCCGGTGTAACTGGTATCTGATAGGTTAAAATCTTAATATCTATTCCTGTTCCTAATATTTCCTCTATTGTGCGCAGGGCCTTAAGGCCGGAATCAGACTATGCATTGAAGATTGTGATTGAAGATTGAAAGATTGAAATTTGACCAATCAAAACAATAGGAGCTAAAATTCCTTTGTCCTCACTGGTCAAATTTCAATCTTCAATCTTCGATCTCAATCTTCAATGCGTAGTCTGATTCCGGCCTAATAGCATCTTGTCAGTGCTACTGTATATTAAATCGTAATTTTTGTATAACAAATACTTTTTTCTCTTTCACAGATTCGAAAATCATTTTGTCAGCCGCGCGTTGCAGGGATCTGTATTACCGACTTTCTATCGATAAAACAGATAATCACTACCCAGTGAGAAATGATAATGGAATCGATGACGAATCGACATCGAATCGACGTCGATTTGATGATTTCGACGTCGAATCGACATCGATTTGATGTCGATTCCATTATCATTGCTCACTGAGTAAGCTGTTATCGATATAATAGAACACTTCTTTAAGGGGATCCTAAAGCCGTCTGTATTACTGATTAAGGCCCAGTTCCACAACTCACTTAACTCTTAACCGAGGTTCAACTTATTCATTGTCTTTTTCTAATTCTAGAATTGGAAAGAGATGAGAAACAAATTGAACCTCGGTTAAGAATTAACTGTGAGTTGTGGAACTGAGCCTAAATTGTAATCTCTTTGTATAACAAATACTTTTTTCTCTTTCACAGATTCGAAAATCCTTTTCCAGAATTAAAGTATATATATTAATACGCGTTTGTGGAATAGAGTTTATGCCGAGAACGACAAAAAGTTTTTCTTAAGATTTTAATTTCGAAATTTTCTCGTTTTTGGTATAAATTCCTCCTCACAAACACGTATTAATGTGTATACTTTAATCCTGGAAAAGGATTTTCGAGAGAGAGAATCTGTGAAAGAGAAAAAAGTATTTGTTATACAAAAATTACGATTTAATCGGTAATACAGACGGCTTTAGAATCCCCTTAAGGGGATGCTAAAGTTGTTCTACTTTACCATCATTTCCATTCGGTGAAATATCTCCGAACTGAATTGACGGATTGCAAAAAATTGTTTTTACAGAATTAAAGTACGCACAAACAGGACCTCAGCTGGATCGGATTTTAGGAGAAAATGGAAGAAAAATTTAAAAATTCGCTTACTTTTAGCTCGTACAGCTGACACCTCAGGTCTATATTTGCTTCATACAAGAGTTTTATAGTTTATATCTTGAAAATAAGCATAGGTCTGAGGTCACATTATTGTAACGAACGATACCAAGTTTATAGAACTAAGATTGAAAGTCTAGAAGGAAAGTAATCCTACCGAATAGAAAATACGTATAAACGGGTACTTTGCGAAGACTGGAAGTGCATTCCGTTTCATGCACGATGTATCATTTTATCCTTGTTCTTCATTGAATATTAAAAAAAGATAAAATGATACATCATGCGCATCATGCATGAAACGAAACGCACCCTGGGACTGTCAACAGAGTCGAAATTCTGTGTAGTTGCGCAGTCTTGCGATAGATGGTGCTGGCATATGTTAGATAAGGACAGATGTATGCGTTTAAGTGAGATAGAACGATATATAATATAATGTAAGAAATGAATCAAAGATGTCACTATTATCGGATTTGGAATTAAAAAAGTCTGCACTATCGACCTCGATCAAGTTCGGTAATCGGTTTAGGATCCTCTTAATCCGTCTATCGAATGTTTGTATACAAACGCACAGTAGATGTAAAAAAACTTCGAAGTTCTGAAGTGCTTCATTTGAGAATTGTTCCATTACTTCCACTTTCCGGAAAAAGATGGGCACGAATGTAGATCTTTTAGAATTTACCAAACAAACCGAAACGTTATTGTGCGGCGTGGGGGCACAGAATTTAGTAAAGGAGTGCAAAAGGAGGAATATATCGACTAACGCGTTGCACAGGTTGACCAAGGAGGATTTTGTGCAACTTGGTAATATGTTTATTCTAACAACCGTTTGATACTAGCACCTTCTATTTACAAAGATTTGAATTATTGCAATTAATACATTATGTATAATATTTCTGTTAAAAATCTGTAGAAGTACGTTATTAAGTTAAAATTTAAAAGTTTTAGAAAATGCCAAGTGAATTATAACTTAATTCGGCGTGCAGTTTTATACATGATTGGATATGTATATAAAATTTACATTGAATTATTTAAGTATTTAAAATCCAGCTTGACCATATAAGGCTTTCATTTCTTAGTTATGTATTTACATTATGGTCTTAAAAAATACTTTGTTTAATATTGGATTATAATTGTTTTAGAATATATTTTCCCAGAAATTTTAAACTTTTGGCAATCAAGGAAAAAATCTTTAATGAATTCATTCTCCTATAATAAAAAGGATGAAGCATAATTACTTCTAAATATAGTTTATTATTCTATTTGAATTACATATCTGTTGTTCCAAAACAAAAATTATGTAGAATTTATATGTATTGTCATTATTTCTCACTTTATTTTTTATGATGTCTATTAATATATGTATTATGTATATAAAAGAATGATGATAATATAAGGAATTGCTTATAGGTGCGGATGCAGATCATGCAGAAAACATAGTCAACGCTCTATGTATTTCTAAGAAAAAACAATATGATGTAAAGCCAAAATCTCATTATAGGTATTAAATCGTTATTAAAGTTCATTTTTACATATAACATTGAAATTGAAAAATCCTATCATTTTTACAGGGTACTCGATAAAGTAGAGATACTGCAGATAGGTGAGAGACAGCTCAGTATAATCCAAGACTTTGTAAAGTATTGCAAAATGAAGCTAAATAAAGAAAGAATCAACTTCTTCATTGAGGCAGATAAGGCTTTGAGTGCTTCTCAAATTCTATGTATATCCGCTGAAGCTACTCTCAATGAAGTCAGCGAGGCTGAGTTGAAATTAAAAGAATTGGAAGCTATGATAATGATGGTATATATAAGAAAATATATTACATTGATATATATTTCTTCAAATTAAGGAGTTCATAATTAAACATTTATTATCAAAAAATTAACAAACTTTAATGAAACATAAATTAGTAACGAGACACATATGATCAATGCTGGATCTATTTAATTGTGTCATTCACAGTGGTCTAGTTTGACGCTTAATAATATTTCTGGGTAAATTTTAGATGCATCTTCCAGTTATGTATAAACTCCGTGCTTATTAACATTATTATTATTAAAATTGACGATATATTTGTGATATTATTTCAGCTTCAATTTATAATTGCGTTTCAAATTTGACAATAATCGACGCACAATTTATATACAATAATTGGAAGATGAATTTAAAATTAACATAAAGAAATATTATTAAGCATTACTACTTAATTAAGCATTATTACTTAATTATATTATTTAATCGATCTAGTTCAATTTATTATTATTTAATGACACATTCTATCTGACTTTTTCATCCATTTTCAGAAATGCCTAAATTAAGTTTTTTTCTTTCAGCCTAGAAACAGCCGAAAACATTCTTATATGTTGTATAGCATTTCATTCGGCGGATTTTGCATTGCAACGTACATATTATTAAACAGACTTTGGAGATAAAAGATTTATAGATTGTTAAGATGCATAGATTATATACTAGTATATATATAATTCTTTTATTATCGCAAGTCTTAAGTCATACAAATTTTTTATATACTATACTTCATAAACATGTGCCATAAATACATATTTTTAATAACATGTTTCAGAATAAGGACTCGCTTTAATTAATGTACCATTCATAGTATACCTAAAATCTCAGGAAATTTTCAATCACTGTCCATTTTCAGTCATGTCCATTTCCATCAATATAGATAAATTTTAATCTCAGTTCAACCTATTTTTCATCTTTTTTTAGTTCTAAGAATTAGAATTAGCTGCGTTCAGCAGAGAAAGCAGCTTTGCAGCTGTGTAAAATTCTTTTATATGATTAGTCTTGCCCTTAGTTCCTCGCTGAATCTAAATGAAGTCATGTCAAAAAATTTTACAAGTTGGAAAGCTTTCTCTGCTGAACGCATTGATTATTGAAACGGACATTATTTATATAAACTTAAAATTTATTTTTTAAAATTAATCGGCATAATTGGATTTAACAAATTCTTATCCTTTTCTTAAGACAGAGCCGGAAATAAAAAAAAGTAAATCTTTTCCGCCTCGGTGTACCATACTTTTTAGGGTGAATTCGAACGAAGGATGAGGAAGTCAAAGAGTCGGCGCATATATAGGAATAAATCGCGATGGGGAGAAAATCGAAGAGAGCCTGCGGAACAAATCGCGACAAATTGGGACCACCGCTACGGGGAAAGTCAAGAGGGATGTATAGGGTAAATCGCGAGAAGGCTCGAGGATGGCGCTAAGAGCATCGACAAGGTACTATTAAGCCTGATTTATAATGGCCGTAACCGTTAACTTATGCCGGTGCCGGTAAAGTTCAACCATAGGATTTCAATGCTTTCGTTCATACTAATACGGCAAGTTAATATGAACGAAAGTATTGAAATCCTATGGTTGAACTTTACCGGCACCGGCATAAGTTAACGGTTACGACCATTATAAATCAGGCTTTAAAGATCGACATCCTTACTGGAGTTCACATCCGTATTAAGATTGAAGTGATTAAGAGTAAAAAACTGATAATGTACTAATTTTATGATTTATTAGTTTAGTAGACGTTTATCGGTGTATATGCATTTAAAACTCAATAATACTCGATTTTTCTTTAAAATTGTGATTTCAGTGTTATCGCTAAAGTTTGATTATCAACAGAGATGATAACTGCAGAGAAAAACTTGTAATTTTTCGGCAATATATAAGATATTATAGCTTTACAAGTATGCATATTTATTTATGGAGCATTTATGTAATAAAAAATCATAAATTTAATAATGTATTAGCTAAATATTTATGTTAATAATAGCAAATTTATATCAATTGTCGATAATATCAGCGTTTTTCAATTACCTCCGGGCCCTTGGGGGGCCCTTTTTATATCGCTGAAAATTTGTCCAGGGTCGACGGTTTTTAATAAGGTCTGTTCCTTTTGGCTAAACTTTTGCATCAGTTCACTTTTTTCCTTTTCTTTTCAGGAGGAAAGAAGAGGAAGAAAGATGAACTGGTGCAAAAGTTTAGCTAAAAAGAACTGGCCGAACAGGCCTAGGGTGCTGTCCCATGTGAAGTGGTAGGGGCAACCAATCAGCATCGTTCCGTTCCGATTTTAAGTAACCTGGCTCCCCATGGGGCATAATTTTCGGAAACGGAAATTTTTCGTACTGTCAATCACCAGTGATCACTAGTGATTAAGAATAATATTGAAAAAATTCTATGTTATATTTCTGAAATGTGTTTCAATTCCTATTATAGCTTCTATTCATTCCAACGAATGCGTTAGAGTAGGAGCTAGAGTAGCAGTATGCGATATGAACAAACAATGGGCGCGTTCAAGTTGACAAAGCGGCTAGCCTGCTCGCCAAACAAATGAATATAATTGGTTGTTACTTACAGATCCGACCAATCATATTCAATTGCTCGGTAAGCATGCCTAACCGCTTTGCCGTCTTGAACTCGCCCAATGGGTGCATTCAGTACTACAACCGCTCATTGAGCGTTCAGTGAGCGCTTGCATCTTATTGGCATATTTCGTTAGAACTAAAAATATAGACCAAACAGATACAAGAGTTCACTGAGCGCTTAGTGAGCGGTCGTGGTACTGGATGCATCCATTTACATTCAACCACTCTACGAGCAAGGCTAAGTTTCTAAAGACATCGAAAACAAAGTGTTGCAACCTTTCTGTGACCCGCCATATGTATTGGAATCGTTTTTTCTTTACGAAAAGGGCTATAATATGCAATTAGTCTAGATTTTTTAGATCGATCTTTACCGAATCGATTTTTTGACATTCAATCTTTTGGTGAATCGATACTCGCGGTTGCGATTCAGGTCGATTAAAAAAATTGATTCTTTTGCCTAGATCGAGCATCCCTAATGGGGGATTTCGGGATGGACGCAACTAAGGTACTATATTAGGTGGGAATATACATCCGCCATATTGGCTCCTGGCAGCTAGCGCATTTTTCAAAATCGGCGATGTTAAATACACGATTCTGCCAATTCAATGATAAACCTAAAAGTATAAGGTTATGGTAAATGTTAAGAAGATTCCGGCTGCCTCAAATTTTGATAAAAATGCATTCAATCGATGCATTTTCGTGTAAAAATAAAGATTTGACAAGAAAAAAAAAGTGTCGCTCTGCCCTGTGAACAAAGATAATAATCATTAAAGTCGACAACTATTCAGATTAGGAAATTTGTCACAGCAGTGATTCATTGTTTTTAAAACATAAACCTACTTTTAGCAAAGTATTTGTTTTTAATGCAGAAGATTTGAAGTGTTCTTAAAGCAGTGAACCAATGCTGTGACAGATTTCCTAACTTGAATAGCCGCCGACTTAACTCTTAAAAAATAGAAAATAAA